AATGTTTTTGATGGTTTTAGTATTTGTTATCTATTAAACCTGGGATTAACATTAGTTATGATTACAGGAGGTTAACCATTCTGGCATTAGTTCATGTCTCAAAAGTTTATACCAGGTGTAATTTAAGACATTTCAAGACCAAGTAAAGAAAATAATTTAGTAGAAAATAATTTTAGACCTTCATTTGCGAAAGGGTTTTTAAAACCTGCAGAAACCCTGAAACAGGCCCAATGTGAGTTACTCCATCATCCCAATATATAACTGATACCTGGACACTTTTCCTCTCTCTCAGCAGTAGCTAAATAAAAGAAAAATCTCATGTGTGCAATGCAAGCGCATGGAACCAAACAGAGCAATTCTAATCCAATTCAAATCTGGATTACATCCGTTTCCGTAAACAGGCAGTTAAAAATGTAACTTTACATAACAGTTGAGTCATATCATCTATTTATAACCCCGCATCCATGTCTGACTTTATTATATCTCTGTGTCACGCAGCAGCTTGGGTGGAAGCAATACGACTGACAGCTAAAAGTGAGCTTTGTTTTGCAGGAGAAACACGTACGGCTTGGGATTCCTCCCGAGAGAACCCTTCCTGGCCCAATTTCTATGATTGCCACTCGATTACGTTTCCAGGAGTTCCTTATCTGCCATCCATCCCACCAAACACAAGCTCCCTGCCGCCAATCCAGGACAGGAGTTTAAACACACGCCAGTCAGACACGCTCTCATAGAGACACAGCTTTCATCCCGCAGCCAACATTTATGAAATGAATTGTGTGCATTAGTGCTGCCCACTTTTTCAGCAGCGTTGGTTCTGTAAGTATTTTGCTCATAGGGATTTAAAAAAGCCTTCATTAAAGCACTATAAGCCATGAAACAAACCAAACAAACATTAACTTTGATTTGAAGAAAGTAAATGAAGATCAGACAAAAAGACAAAGATGCAAGATGCAATATTTTAGTTTGATAATGTCTTTTTTTTTATATTTAGTATCTTTTGTGGATGTTATTGTACTAAATTATATTTATGTAATGCATTCATTAATTGTTAACCACAGCACAGACCTGAAAATGAAATTTCCCAACTTAAACTGCCACGTCTCTTTTTAAAGAAAACATTTGGCACATTACTGCTGAAGTGAAAAAAGTGAAACTGTTTGTTTTTAAATATATTAAATGTATATTTTCCAAAACATGTTTTACTCTAAAACATAAATCTAAACAAGCTGTGTTCCAAATTTGAAGCTGATATCACAAAAAGATAAGATTTTGTTTGCCCGCAGTACCAAATGCTTTCACTGAAATTCACTTCCCATTCCTTTTTCACCACGAATTCTGCTATTAAACATGATTGTTTTACGAATAAGTTGAATTAATGCAAACATATAGGTTCAACAAATGTGCATACAATTGATTAACAACCTCAGAGCTCACAACGTGTCTGTCTTTAAAGGTTTATCAGTTATTGTTAAAAATCAGTTTGGAGTAAATGGAGTTTTTCTATTCAAATGCACTGTTTCAACTAGTTTTTGAGGATTAATAAGTAAAGGCTTTTAGAAAGAAAATAAAAGTTCTGTCACCATTTACTCACCCTGATGTCATTCCAAACCTGTATGTATTTTACATAAAACACAGAGGGCTTTTTTTTTTACATAATGTTTGAACTTTGTGTCATACACTCTTATTGGCATTGATGGCTCCATGAAGAACCTTTAACATGCATGGAATCACTAAAGGTTCTTTAGAGTGCAAAAAAAGGTTATTACAATGTTCTTTACACTAAGAAAAAAATGCTTATTTTAAGGACTGTTCACTAAAAGGTTCTCTGGGGAACCAAAAATGGTTCTTCTACGACATCGCTGTAAAAAACACTCTTTAGGAACCTTTACTTTTAAGAGTGTAATGAGTGACAGTAAGCATTGATATTTTCCATTAGGCTCCACAACAATAATACCATAAATGTAGTCACAATAGCTTTGTGTAAGAAAAAAACCCCTGAAATTTAAGCCGTCATGTTCCTCACATACTGTAAAGCTAGATTTATGACACCAGGAGAGCTAAATGTAGTACACAAGTTACATGGACTACTTCTATGATGGTTTTCATTTCTAGACTAAATTATGATTTGTGACTTTACATTTACAATATCGGTGTGATATATATATATATATATATCATCTGAGTCCGTTATAATAATGCGTGTATGAGTGCTCTTGACGCACTGATCGCACATTGTATTTATGCACAGGCACAGACATTTCCGTACATTCACATTTTTTCCACACACATTCACGATAATGTTTTGATTTGTCATGCTTATGTTGCTGTGTTTAGTTATACTGAATGGATCCGTGTACTGTAGTACAGTGGTTCTCAAACCTGTCCTGGAGTACCCCCAGCTCTGCACATTTTGTATGTCTCCCTCATCTATCACACCTGATTCAACTCATCAGCTCATTAG